ACACACACACGCACACACACAATATAATCATTAATGTTAGCAATGTCGCGTCAACATTTTGCCATTATTGGCAGGGCTTTGCTTGACATTGCTGTGCTACCCAGATGAACCCTACGGCCCCCAACGGCTTGGTCGCTGTACCTGGCCCAGCTTGCCCAAGTGCTGCAAAGATTCCAGCGCCAGAACTGGCAGAGCCATCGGCTTGCAATGTTGCAGCCATCTTGGAAAATTGCGAACGTGGTTGTTTTTGCTGTCATTTGCTTGGGGGGCCACGTCCGGCGGTTGGTGCACTGGTGCCTTCCTCGGAGAGGTGAGCAAGAAGGCGGAAGCAGAAGCACAGAGCCCTGTGGCCACAAAGCCTTTGGTTGCGTGGATGCCATTCTTATCAAATGCAACGTTCTTTTTTACACCAGGCATTGGGGCGCTAATAGATTCCTGGGGCTTTGTGCCTGCTATCCACTTGCTTTGCGTGGCAGTTCTGGCATCAGTTCTGTCACTGGTGCTTTTACCTCTAGCTTGGCAATGGTTGACACTACTGTCACTCAACTGGCTGCAAGCCGTCACATACACGCTCCAATTCACATACATTGCTCGCAAATATGCACCAGATCAGTTCGGAACGGTGATGGCCTTGAGCACCTTGGTGCAGAGTGCCGTGAATCTAGTTGGGCTGTACTTGCTGACCTCACGGCCTCTCGTTGCAGCCACAATACTGATTTTCCCATGCATTTGTTTGTGCCAGTTGTGGCATTGGAAAGAGAGAAGGGAACAAACAGAGAGAAGGGCTATGACCACCATGTCAAGGGATGAGTCAGCGTTGTAAAAGAGGCACACTTACTGTAGCTGCTTGGTTGGAATCAATCACATTTGGAGATTAGAATAGAATATATACATGAAGCAAGATTTGCTGCTGTCACGTTCTGATTCCGTGGGCAGAGCATCGAGCATTCATGAAGTTAGTACTCCAGTTCAGCAGCCAGATCGCAAGGCTCAAAATTGTTGGTGAGAAAAGTGCAGACTCCTTGACTCCTTGTCATGCAGTTTTCTTCTATTTTACTTTTTAAATGGGTTTCATTTCACAGCAAGGCAACCTAGGACCTAGATATATTTTACCGTTTACATGTTGGAGCAACTTCCCCAGCAATGCCAACTTCATGCAGAACAAGTTCACCAAAGCCAAAACCTTGCACAAAGGAGACAGTTTGGAAAACAGTACTTGATATGTTGGCTTTGCAGTCGGCAATCCAAAAGTTGTGATCCAAAGTTTATTTCAGGAATCAAAGGAAAGTGGAGAGAAAGCCAGTCGTCAAAGTCAAAAGGCGCGTGCACCCCCACACAAAAAGCCCAATGGATTGAGCGACCCAGCTCTTGCCAAGTTGAAAGCAGAAGCCAAAAAGATTCCCAGACCTTCGGGAGTCTTGGCAGGCAATTTTTGACTTAGGAATCAGAGCATTAATTCTTGTTCGGCTTTGAGGTCTGCAGTCCAGCTTGTTAAGACTTTATGGTCTTGGGCTTGGTTGGATCTCCCATTGTGAGTGGACATGTTGTTTGTCAACGAAGCTGTATGCAGATCATGCAGATCATGCAGGCAGTCTTGGGATTGGAATCTCCGCATTTGCTGCAGTGGCTGCTCCTTCGACACAAATCTTTGGACAAGATCAGAATGTAGATTCATGTGTTAGCCCGACAGTTGCTGCAATGTCGGCTTGCTCGTCCTAGGAGATGATGAGACATCAAATTCCCACGGGCCATTTTGAGCTGCGTGATGGTCGATTGATCAATATCAGCCATTTTGATCCACTGGAGCTAGGTAAGGGTTTTGAGTGCTTGTAGGGCTTGGAGTGGGGTAGCCTTGGCTTGTTTGCCTGCTTTGCAGGGCCGTTTCCAAAGTGCCACCCGCATTTTGGGGAGCACCGGGTGAACGATACATGGGTCAAGACGCTTGGCCGCAGCGGAATTTGCCCTGGCCCGCCATGTAAGGAGTCCGTCATTTCCTGAGGATTGCACATGTTCCGGCCGGTGGGCCGTTCCTTCCTGGTCATCCGCAAAATCCAGATGCTAGGCGTCAAACTGTGAGGTTGTCTGACTTGCAGGTTTGACTGTGCTCAACTCAGGAGTGGCTTGAGAAATCTCGAATGCAGCAGAAAGAAGACAACCTCACGTGGTGGCATGCTGAAGATGGTGGGGTAGGACCCTGTGAAATTGCTGCTGAAAAAGAACATCCTGCTAGCTTAGGCTTCTATTCGGGAATTGCTTTCTTTTTTGCATTTTGTGTTTGATAGTACTTTATCCAGGTGCCTGTTGGTGGCTTCTGCTTGCTTTTGCTGCATTTTGGCATTCTTTGGTGGCTTTGGGTTCGGTGGCTTTTGGCAGTCTTTTGGCTTTTGCTTTTGTCGCTTGCTTTCTTAAGTTTGCCTTGTGGCCCATGCGGCATGCCAGATAAGTTCTAGCTGGGTTTGCTTTTGTTAGAGTTTAGACCCTTTCTGAGGAAGGCCAATTCCTTATCATTATATATCCACTTGTCACTATTGTTTCTGTTCTAGTTCCTTTTCCAAAGGGAGTTTTGTGGATGAAATTCTTAAGGACAATCGCTTCCCAAGTTAATGTCGAAGCCCACTAACTTAGGGAAGCATGACATACATGTGCAGCACGTCAGTGTCCCTGATTTGTTCTGAGGAAGAGCTTTCAATCTTCTCTACATATGGTAGTTCTAGCATCTCTTTGCGTGTTACCTGGCTTGACTGGGAACTGTTTCATGTGGTTTGAGATTGGAAACGCATTCTTGTGACGCAGGTTGACAGCATCCAAGCACAGCTTGTGGACGCTGACAGAGCCAGCTGCGACGCAAAGAAGCACACACACGTTGGAGCAAGAGGCGCTTGACCTTCAAGGGAACTCTCGTGATTTTCCAGGTCACGGGACAGCTGTTGTGGCCGTAGTGCAGGGAGTAAGTACTACGCACCCTTCGTCTTTGGCGCCAAGCATTGGCACAGGTTTGACAGGCAGGACTGTTTATACATATACATATATATGCATATTTATTTATATAGGACTCTCTCTCTCTCTCTATCTTGTTTTTTTTTTCCTCTCTCTCTCTCTATATGTACAAAACTTTTTGCAAGATGCTCGTTGTTGTGCTTGTCAGGATGCATACTGGCTTCCACTGATAGGATCAGGACACATCGTTGGTGTTTCATCGATCACTAGAGCTCCATGAGGTAAATGATGAACATGGTGTTTGTAGCTGCTTTGCTGCTGTGTGGTGGACTTTGGCCAGCGTGAAGGATTCTTATTTGCCATTTTCCTTGGCTTAAAATATTTGAGCCCTTCAGCGAAGACGGACTGTGACTGTGAACCAGCATTGCAGACTGCAAGCAAACTAAACCAGCTTTCAAGCCCTTTTCGTCGGGGTGGACCCCAAATTCTCAGGCATCGACTGGTTGAAAGAGATTCTGCAAGTGTGCATCCTGAGCACATGTGCCATTGGTGTCGGAGATAATGCAGAAGAATTATGGCAAGTTTTTGGCCACTTGCTCAAACATGTCTAGTCGCAGAAGCATCGAGACTGCAGACTGACAGCAATGAATTCGCTTGCATTTATATATACACCATTTTTTCTGTTGGAAGTCAAGGAACGCCTAGCAAAGTTGCATGACACATACCATAGGTTCCAGGAATTGTCCCAAGCCTCAGGCCGTCAGGTAGAATGTGAAGGCTTGTCCGCCTCAGGTGCTCCAGGGCAGGCAGAGCCGACATCAACCTTCACAACACTCTTGAAATTCATTCCAGGCTTTGGGATGGCCTTGGCTTATGCAACTCGGCTTCCAATGTGGTTGAGTTGAGAAGTGCGTTGTTTCTGGAAGCGAGCCTTCGTTTCTGTGATAGATGTGATGGCTGTAATTGACACGGATGTGCTGCACTGAGGCAATTTCAAAACATTGGATGTTGAATAACATCATGGGCTTGTCATTCTGTTTGATGGGCATCAGGCACACTGAGATCACCTGTGCTATTTTTGGAACTCTGTCCAAGTTGGATAGTGTATGCTTCCAATGCTGCAAGGTACGTGAATTTGTCAAGCTTTCGAACTGGAGTTGTTCTTCTTGCTGGCCTATTCCTGTATGATGTGCACAGGGGCTGCATTGGACACAGAGCACTTTGTACGAAGGCTTCATGCAGCTGGTTTCAATGCTACCTTGGGAGATTGAGGTTCTGGGTGTTTCTCAGCAAGCCGCTTTTCGGTGCAAATGTCATGGTGTCTGTAGCCAAGGGCATTGAGGTGCTTCGTTGTTTTCATTTGTCTTCACGTTGAAGAAGAAGATTTGATTTAGTCGTGGTGATGACCGATGTTGCACCAGAGGCACCCATGAAACTACTTCTCCCACGCGATTGTGGTGGTTGTGGAGACTTGAAGTGCCTTGGAATTGTATCGTTGACTCAAGAAATCTGGGATCAATCTTAACAGGAGGTCGTTTCAAGCTTGTGCCACGATCCCAACAAGTTGAACTATACTAGGTACAGATGACACAGGACTTTATGGTCAGTTTTGGGACGCACTGTATGCACATGAGATACATACCTTGAGAAGGTGACAAATGCCGGGAACACATGAGATGCATGTTTCTTGTGTTTTTTTTGAATGGTATATGGGTGGTATGAATCAAAAAAGAACAGATGACATGGGACTCCCTTCATTCTCATCCTCACAAAACGCCGCCGCCTTTCGTTTTCATCCTCACATTCTCCCGATCCCATGCTCTAAAGCGTCTCTAGTGCTGCCAGCTGAGACTTCCAAGAAATCACATCTGACGGTGCGTGCAGTATGTGCTCTTTGATCAGATGCTTCAACACCTTGACCAAGCACTGGAACGGGGTCCTAGCTCCAGACTTCCAGGAACAAGTAGACCATGTTGAACTAGATGAATAGCGACACGACCAGAATTGGCTGCTTGTATGACGGAAGACGCCACAGCCAACTACTGGAGGTATCCTGTACAATTCAATCTGGCGCTCATCAGACAAATTCTTCAATTTGATGTACTCCTCCGAATTATGATACTGTTTGGTGCGATGCACTGCTTTTGCCGCTTCTGGGGGTTTGACTGCATCAGGACCGCCATGGGTCATTGAAGCAACCATTGAATCCAAATCCAAATCTTCTTCAGAGAGCTCGCCGTCGGCATCCTCTACGCCCGAACTGGCCTCCTAGTATGTTACAGAATCTGAATGCAGAAACGTATATATATACAGTATATATTAACCCAACAAGCTCACATGAGATGGGACCTGGAGGCCATGAGGGGCTGGTATATGACAGGGAGTCCATAGCAATCCCTGATAATCTAGTATGTTTTATAATCAGAACGCAGAACCCCCAGAAAGGTCCCAACGCCAATGGCACAGCATTATATAGCTCCACGGCACATGAGATGGGACATGGAGGATAGTTGGGGTTGGTATAGGGAGTCCATAGCAATAGATGCAATAGTATGTTATATATTATATAATTATATAATCAGAATACAGAAAACCCCAAGAACACGCAGTTCCCAGAGAAACCAATTCAGTTAGAAAGCTGATCTGAGATTCAGGCCTCATCAAAGGCCGCCATGCTCAACGTGCAAGCATCAACACAGGAATACAAGTAACGAGCACAGGCAAAATGAACATTGACATGTGAGAACTTTGTATACACACCGTGCATAAATACACATATCACATATCTGGAGTTCGAATCCTTTTCTGGAATCAAATCTGCAGGTCTTATCTCATGCAACCACTACCTGTTTGTCAATCCCGGCATTATAGGTTGCGGATATATGAGATGGGACTCTGACCTACTCATAACCACATGAGCGATTTGGTTCTTGTCATGGACTCTGTAGGGCTTGGGCCACCTTGCAATCTGAGATTCTAAGGATTTGAGCAGATGAGATGCGTTTTGTTTTTTTACATTTCTGTCCTCTCTTTTTGGAGACCGTGGACAGATGAGATAGGAAAGGTGATAATTTGGAGGTTGTTGCACAATTCACGATCTCATGTGTACCTAGTATAACTTTGCTGATAAACTGAGGGCCCATCATTTTAGACGGTGGCGGACTTCTGGTCTGTGAGGGCTACATGACCCGTCATCGAAGAGCCTACAGGAGGGTAGAAGCCTAGAAGGGTACCATAGGCGGCCATGGTTTTGCATGTTGCATACTCCACAAGAATCTGTAGGAAACTTGGAGCAAAGCCAGACCACCATGTAAGGTTCTTCGATGTTCTTCGGTCCTTTAAGCTATGCAACCCATGCTGAGCAGTTTAGCTCAAGGTTCGGTATGTTGGGCCTTGGAGATATTGCTGTTCCTGGCCTTTTCACTTCCTTCCTGGCAAAGTGGGACGCAGCTCCTTGGTTAACACAGGCGGGATTTGTGTGGAGATGAAAGCACCTGGGTTAAGGTGAAGATGAGCGAGGGCTCGAGCACTGGCTTCATTTACTTGAACGTAGCCATTATGATGTACATATTGAGTTTAGCGGCTACAATTGTGAAGACCCCAGACATAGTGACCGCTGACGAATTGTGATTTTCATTTTGGTGAATTTTCCTCAGTATTGCGTGTCAGGGTGTTTCGGTTTTCTGTGAGTTTGCCAAGGCAGCCATGATCATCTTCAACCATGCTCAGCCAGCCCTTTTGTACATTTGTCCCGGTCTTTTACTTGGTTCGATTGGAGTGGCCTTTGCCCGTCAGGATCTTAAGAGCCTCCATTCAATGTTTCTGAGCCCCCTTGCAGTTTGTGCAGGTGCGGAAACCTCACAGTTGCTGACATACTCTTTGCCTGGTAGTCCAGAAGCCAAGCTGCATAGACTGCATCCACTGCAGCGGTAAGCTGTGACCTTCCTTGGGAATGATGGTGAATACTTGCCAACACTAGGGTTGTCTTGCCCGGGTCAATCTGAGGAGAAGAAGCAGCCTGAGGAGGAAGAGGCTGCCAAGAAGACAAGGTAGCGGTAGCAGGCACAAAATGGCACGAATCCAGATGGAGTTCGACCTGAAGATGTTCCGGGACCAGCCCGCTTCCGAATTGAGATTGGAAATTGGAAAGATGGACTTAGAAGTTCGGAGCAAAGCTGCAACCTTTGCAGCTTTCGCGCGAAAGAAAAAGCTGCAAGCAGCCTCTGAATGTTTACGATGATGCCAATGTGCGCTTCATGCTTGTGCTACAAACACTTACATTCAATCACTGTCCAAAACACCGGAGGGCTTGCACACAAGCCTCTTTTTTTAAAATATATACACGTGCATATACAGTTGAGGTATATGCATTATATATATATATACACATACACGCTAGTGACTAAGAGCGCCAGGAAGCGACAATTGGATGGGCCCGGGGGCTTTCCTGAGGCCAAACTTGGGCAGAGTGGGCGGGAGTGAGTTGTGAGGGTCACTGCATTCGCTCCCTGTTTTTGCACATTTTTCGTGCACCCCGGAAGATTAACATGGAACTTAAACACCACCGGGTCGTAGAGGAAAATCGCATCTTCCAAAGCCATTTTCAGGTTCCATGTTATACTGTATCTGGCATTTCCCCAAGGTTTTGGGAGGTGACCTATGACTGGACTGCTCATGCCCATGCTGCTGAACAATTGGACGTTCATGATTGGCAATAGTTGATATTGTGTCAGTGCTGCTGCACGCACATTCTACATATAGATGCTGGTAGAAGATTAGACCACAAAAGCAGCTTGTGTGGGTTGGTGCATCGACTTTCCAACATGTGCATCAAACATTCGACAACACGCTTTCAAACATTTCATATATACAAGAAGCTACTAGGGGCTCCTGGCCTTACTACTAGGAGCATGGACGCTACTAGGGTGCTCCTGGCATCGCTACTAGGAACAATGTTCGCAAGATGCGACCTTGCGGCGTGCTCGTATTCACAGCTGCCTCCTGCCATGGCAGCTGAAGTGGAGGGAGTCACAGTGCGTATGATGTCAGGCGAGGTTTGGACGTTCCCCAAAGTGGGCAACCTCAGGGATCTCCAAGCTGGCATTGCCGAAAGAGCCAACACTTCTGCGGAGTTTCTTCAACTGGTGCAAGGACAGCATATGCTTCAGGAACCGATTGACGCCAATAGTTTATCGGGCGTTGAGCTTTCCTGCATCATAAGCCCTAGCACCCCAACAATCATCAAGGTGCTAAGCCAACATTCCTACCACTTCAGAGGGTTAAACGAACATGCCGCCAGAAATCCAAAAGGATTGATTGGATGCAACTTGCTACATGCAGCTGTTGTCATTGGACGGCTGGACATGGTCCGCTTCTTGCTTGAAGAAGAGGATTTCCGGGGTATCAACGGCATATTGGTCCGCACTGGACACAATGCAATTCATTTGGCAGCTCGAGAGGGACATGCAGACATTTGCCAGGGACTGCTGTCCTCCGAGCGCTTCTCCGGGGCGAATGACTGCATAAGTGAGGGAACAGCCCTTCACATAGCTGCACGGCATGGCCACCTCCAGGTTCTGCGGGTTTTGCTGGACTCAGAGCGCTTCACCGCAGTGAATGAGACAATACAGGGTCCACCAGGGTCTCAGAGGACTGGACAAACTGCCTTGCATGTGGCTGCTGAACATGGCCAAGAGGAGGCAGCTCAAATGCTCTTGGACCACACCCGCTTTACAAAGGCCACTCAGGCTTTCTACGGTACACATTTCAATTTTTTCATGAAGGCTTGCAAGAAATCTTGCAGAGTCCTCTTGGTTCATGTTTTTCTCCTAGGAAGTCAGTGGGAAGGGGTAAGAATGGGTTATATATAAGTATAAGTTGTGGTTGCATCCTTAAGACGATTCTGATTTTTCAATCCTCTTCGTAAACAGGTTGGCGCGCTGACAAAGGGCTACAGTGATGCCAGTGCTGTGGCAGATGCCTTTGGTCATTCTGGGCTGGCCAGAGCGATCCGAGATCATTCCAAAGTCCTTGAGTTTCGACGTCTTCCGACCAGCTCTCGCGGTTATGGCGGCTTCATGCGCAGATCCGTGGGGATGCCGTAGCAGCGACAAGTCGATGGCAAAAATGCATTTGGAGGACGACCGACCACGAAGAGCAAGCACAAAAAGCGCTTTTGTTCTGGCACCCCCTTCGTTCATCCTTAAAGCTTAACTGAAGAGCGGTTGTGCACTACCTGACAGTAATTGCAGCTCTTCCTCGGTCTCAACAGGGATTTTGTCTTTCGGCACTGTCTTCCATGCGATAATCCTGCATGCTCAGGCGGCAAGCTTGCTATCTGGTCAGGGTACACCGCCTTTTTATGCAAGCTGTGTTTTGCTTCAATTCTGACTCGACTTGTGAGTCAATTGAGCCCCTTTGTTCAAGTTCAGCTGTAGTGTGCAGGTTCACCGACTGGAATTCACAAGTTTGCGCCTCCACCTCAGTTTGACAATGACTCAGCTTGTATTGCTGCCAATTCTCTCGATCTTTACACACGTGCCTATTGTTTGACTGCTTCGGTGGTTGCTTGCTAGGCCTGGGAACCCCTACTTGGTCTCAGTGATGCCAATGCCTTGTTTGAGAGCATGATGGACAATCCCAATCTCCTTGCCCTCTAGAAACTTGCAGTTTTTTGTTGACCTTGTAGTTCGACTTTGCAGGCCTCTCTTGCTGAACATGGCCACCGTTGAAGACTCGGGTCCAGTTGTCAACCTCAAGGCCCCATACTAGGGGCTCCACCCGTCAAATTCGCAAAAATAATGGTCGCAAAGTCTCGAACCAAGGCATGTGGCCCGGCTTTCGAGAAGAACGAGAAGTCTAAGCATGTCATCACTCAGGCGGGATTTCCAACTCAACATGTACTTGTTCGAGGTAAGATGTACACATATATACTGTATATGTATATATATATATGTATTTATAGATGCATGTCGTATAGCATATATATATATGCAATATGGATGTGTTTAAGTATGCCTCTTCCTCGGGGTCAGCCATGCACACAGAGTCACAGAGGCACACATAGCCAGCTAGTGCCACAGGAAGCAGATTGTGAGTGAGAATAGCTAAGCTTTGGTGAAGCAGGACTCTTGGCGCCTGGTGAAGATTGAGCCGGAAGTGCAGGATGTTTTGCGTGTCTTTTCATCCCAAGTTTCCAATATTATATACTTTGTTGCATGTTTCGCTGCTTGGCGCCGATGGCAAGACCATTGAGGAAGTGTTAGTTTTTGTCCGGAAGGATATCGCAGACCATTTCGGATTGGATGAGCGCATTACTGGGAAGCTGCAGGAGGCTGTGTGCTTTGTGTGCGCAGAGGCGGCTGAGTCCCGCTTCAACCTACTTTTGTCAGTGTCAGGCCCTGAACACACGGCCAGATCCTGGCACTGACCTTGAGGCCGGGACTTGTGGTGAGTTGCAAGAAGCCCTTTGGTGATTGCAGAGGTGATGTGGGAAATCCTGGACGAAGCCAGGAATCCGCCAGGTCTTACCATGATCAAGGCCGAGAATCGCAGCCAAGCAGAATAAAAGATGCAAGCTTGAACCACCCCCGGCTACAACTACGACAACAACAACAACAACCTACTGCTACTGCTACAGCTACAGCTACAGCTACTGCTACTGCTTCTGCTACTGCTACTTCTGCTACTACTGCTGCTACTACTACTGCTACTACTACTACTCCTCCTCCTTCTCCTACTCCTACTGCTCCTAGTGCCACTGCTGCTGCCACTGCTACTTACTGCTCCTGCTATGCGGCCACTACCATGACGACGACTACGACATCAACCGTCCACTAAATATATTTTATAACTACTCCCACGGGTGGGGTCAGTTGCAGGAATAATTGTTGGAATAGGAATGGTATTTGTTGAGGGGGTCACGAAAACTTCTTCAAGAAAACTATGTATATAATGGGGGGAGGTAGTATAAAGAATACGCTGATGCCAACCACCCATGAGAGTTCCTTTCCTACATATGATAAGCTTGAACTCAACAACCCGAAAATAACATTTTGATGTTAACAGCCCCTGAGAATATTGTATAATTTTGTTGAACGCACCATCCCATTGCCTGACATCCGATGACTCTCGGTGACTGTCAATGACCACCATGTGAATGCCAGATGTCGTCCACATTTGCGGAAAAACTTTTTTGGCTCAAATTATTCCGGTATGTGTAGATGTGTCAGAATAATTTCATGGAATCATGCCTAATTTCAGAAATATTCCACCCGGGGGGTTTCCCAAAATCGATTAAAGCACGGCCCATACTACAACTACGACTACGACAGCGACCACTACCACTACTACCACTATACCACTACTACCACTACTGCCACTGCCACCTCTACCACAACTACCACGACTACCTGACTACCACCGACGACAACGACGACGACTACGACTTGACTACGAACGACTACGACCACGGCTACTACTACTACTACTACTACTACTCCTGCTGCTGCTGCTGCTGCTCCCACTGCCACTGCCACTGCCACTGCCACTGTCACTGCCACTGCTGCTACTACTACCGCTACTACTCCTACTGCTACTCCAACTACCTGTGCTACTAACTACTACGGCTACGACTATTCACGAAAGGTAGCGGTTACGCTACCTGAGTTTTCCTTTTGCTTTAGCAAAAATGTATTAACCCAGAGCTGCAGCCTATCTCTCGGAGAAATGGTCCCCGACATCTTCGTTTGCTGGCCGGGGGGGGGGGGCCCCCCCCCCCCCCCCTTTCAACTCCACCCTAGCGCGCCTCGGGGTCAACCGTTCGAAAACACTGTAAATATCAGTGTTTTCAGCTCTTCCAGTCCTCAGCAGTGACCAAAAATCATGGAATTTACAGCGTTTTTTGTGGCTGTCCGGCAAAAAACACCGCAAAAACCGATGGTTTTTGATGCGTCTCGGTTAGAAAAATGACCGAAAAAAGACCAAAAACCAGGAAAGATTTTGTCAGAAAGGGTTTTTGAGGCTTTTGGAGGCTTCAAAATTGCACAAAACTATGGTATTTACAGGGTTTTGTGCACCTTCCCGGCAGAAAACGCCGGTATTTACACGGTTTTCTGCGCTTTTCCAGCGCTCAACCGTGGTGCGCCTTTGGATCGACGGCTACAAAATACCGTAAATACCAGTGTTTTCAGCTCTTCCTGTCTTCAAGCGTGGCCTTAGACCTTGCCGCGGCTGTGGATCGACGGCAACGAAACCTCGTAAATACCAGTGTTTTTGAGCACGTCCTGTTTGCAAGCATGGCCTGCGGCCACGCAATTTACAGGGTCGCCGCACGTCACTATGTAAATCCGAAGTTGCATTTGAGAAATATGTGACTCCTTTTGAAGGCACGTCAACCTGTATTGAAACCGCTAGACCGCTACAGCTTCTGGAGGTTTTGTCAAGCGTTTGTGCACTAGTCTTTCTTTCATCACGCTCACTCACTTCTCTTCAAACAAGTGGGGGGCCTCTCACCTCCTCCCGGATTACGCCTGATTCCCTGCTACCTTTCGTTCACCCCCCTCCTCTCTCAAGTACCACAACATCGACTACGACGACTACTGCTGCTACTGCTACTGCTGCTACTCCTGCTGCTGCTGCTGCTCCCGCTGCTCCTGCTACTGCTACTGCTACTGCTACTGCTACTATTACTACTACTTCTGCTGCTACTGCTACTGCTACTGCTACTGCTACTGCTACTACTACTGCTACTACTACTACTACTCCTGCTACTGCTACCGCTATTGCTATTGCTATTGCTGCTGGAACTGCTGCTACTGCTGCAGCTGCAGCTGCTGCTGCTGCATAATCATGAACGCTTCCTCTTTATAAAATGCTACCATTTGCAAACCAGCACTAACTTGTCACACTTGCCAGGTGAAAGAGATGCTGGAGGGAACCTTCCGGATGGGTGAGCAGAAGGATGTTGCAGCCTGAAGTGATTGAGTTTCGGTGAACATGCCCAGTTACACAAGCGGCAGGTTGCCAGAACAATCGGCAGCTATTTCAGTGGGGGCGATCTGTCAACCTCATGCTTTACAGGACACTAATCAAAGTTGCAAGTAGCGAGACGGGGAGTGTGTCGTATAGAGAGCACGAGCGCCTTGTGAACACTCCTGACACCAAGCGATTCCGATTAGGTGAGCCAGCAGCTAGGATGCCACACGCACGCTGGGCAGACACGGATGGTGCCATATTGGAAGTCCAAAGATGAGACATTTTTTGAACGCAACTTTTGACACCGCGGTGCCATGCCTCGTCCACACGTGGCGGAGCGCTATGCGGAGTGCCCTCTTTGCTTCAAACCTTTGCATTTGGGTGCTGTCGCAACTTGGAGAAAACTGAGAAGGATCTCTCACGGGAAAGGACATTGTGAATATATATATATATATATTCAAACATAGTAGTATGTCCTACAGTGTTGAATGACAGCACTTTCACGCTCAAAGCTTCTGGTTCATGCACCAAGCATTGGTGGAAACAGCTAGGTCTTTGAGTTGGGGCGCCAGCTCAGGGTGGTTTGGATTGGTGTGCCCGGCTCACTGCAACTCGTCGGCCATCCTCCTCCTGGCCGTCTTCTCGGCCGGCTTTGCTCTGGGCTCCCTCCTCTCGGCCGCCGTTGGACTTTGGATTTTCTGGGGCTCTCCTCTGCCTCCAGCTTCATCCTCTCCTCGGCCTGCCTCCAGGTCTGTTTCCTCCACTGCCTTACGCCTGCAGGCGTACCTTCATGAGCGGCGCCGTCCTGAACATTCTCATTGAATCGGTCAAGGCTGTTGCTCTCACACTACGGACGCTGGCAGATACTTTGGACGCTGCTGCAAACAGGGCTTCGGCTGCTCGTGGCCTCGGCCCTTCGGGTGATCAGATTGCTAGCGGCTTGGAGCCGCATCCTGAGGATCGTATTCCTGACTCGGTGGACTGGGACTTGGTTAGCTACGTTTCAGTAGTGGCGACTCCCCTCCAAGGCCTTCTTCGGCTCCCCGGCTCTCTGTCAATCAGGCCTACGAGTTGGTGGCTTCACAGATTCCTCATCTCCCTGATACTTGCCTCGAGTTGTGCAACCGTCTCGCTGGCTCCCAGGACGAGGTACGTGCAAGAGCTGACAGGGCTTGGATTGCTGGGCATTGGGCTCGTGCTACATTGGCTGGAACTGTGCCAAAGCCTCGGCCTTCTCCAAAGCTCACGGCGAGGCCCACGGTCTACATCATCCTCAAGGCAGCCTCGATTTCTCATCCAGTTCGGGTGTCTTCTGCTGCTGACTGCTTCCGCCTGGTGCCTCGGTTTGAGGACAGCGTTTCTCATTCCTTCCCATCGTTGGCAGAAGGAAAGGTCTATTGCTTGGCCGCTGGAGTCGCGTTCCCTGACCCAGCGTCTGGGACGCAATGACCGTCATCCCAGAAGACTTCAAGGTCCTGGACCCGGAAGCTTTTCAGATTGCTGTATTGAGGTTGGACTTCGATGCAGAGCATGGCAACGGGTCGGAGGGCTTTGCAATCCCAGTTTTGGCACGTCAGGATGGCTTTTTGTTGGCAGTCCCAAGGAATTTCATCTGTCAGGAGATCATAGATCAAGGAGGCTATGCAGCTATGGACGACTTGGTAGGCCCGTCTCGGGTCGTAACAGTGCCTGCTGTCCTGGAGGAGGAAGATGGCACCCTCACGCCTCTCGACTTCGATTTGGAGGTCCTGCTGATAGACTTCAACCGGCGCATTCTGGATTCTCTCCGAGGCTTCGATCCAGTCACAGAGGGGCCGGGTATCTCTCTCTTCTGCGCGGACAGCTTCGATGTTCTCCCCGAGCCCAACTCGCTTTTGGTGGCTACCACTCAATGGGTCGAGGAAGGGGTGGCCAGCGAGAGGGTTCAGTTCTATTCAGCAGACGAAGCTCAGGACCTACATGTAGACGCAGAGCCTGCCCAAAAGAAGAAGACACCCAAACCTCGGGCGTCCACTGCTCCCAAGAGGGTGACTACGGCGTCATTGGCAGAGCAGCTTGCAGGCTTAGCTCAAAGTCTCCCTGCTATATCGTCCCAGCTCGAGGCCATGAAGAAAAGACAAACCAGGGTGGAGTCACTCTTGGAGTCTCCTTTGAGGGCGGGGCCAGCTGTTCCGGTCCCAGCCCATCGGCAGCCTTTTCAAATGCCGGAAGGTGTACAAGTGAAGGCCTCCCCAGGGAAGTTTCTCCGAACCATTTGGAGTCCCCCTCGTGTGAGGCCCCTCCCTACCAATCCGGACACGGCTCGTCCGCCCCTGCCCATCCAGATGGTCGAGGACGAACCAGTCGCCCTTCCCTCCGATCCAGACTATGTGCCCGCGAAGCACGTGCCGACGGCTACAGACCAGCCTCTGCAAATCTCGGATCTTCTGCTACAGCAGTCTCAGGCTCTGACTTCGTTGGTGGCTCATCTGGCTTCAGGGGATGGCTTGCACGACTTGGGATCGTCTACCAGCTCTACCGGCCTATCTCTCCGAGGCTCAACCAAGCGGGAGAAGTTGATGGGCGATTTGAGTGCCAGGAAGGGGGAGTTTTTCCTCAAGGTCTCCCAGAATGCCTTCAGGAGACTGAAGCCGTCCGAGCCGGTTCCAGTGAGTCTAGTCGACATGAGGGGCAAGAGTCTTTTCAACAAGTATGCCGAACGGTGTGGTGGCTTCCAAGGCCAGCGAGACCTCGGCCTAGTGATGTGGCTCCTGACTTGCATAGCCGACCAGATGATTGCCGGCGATGTGAAGGGCGCCCAGGAGATGCTAGCCTTGCCTCTGGTGACGGTGGAACAGGCCGCAAGATGGAGGAAAATGGGATGTGGCCTGGCTCCTGTCGCTTCAGGAAGATCCGCCTCTGGGCCTTTTCCAAGCACGACCAGCCACCACAAACCCGAGGCTGCGGGCTTTCGCCCCTCTGTGTCCGCCCGAGTGGGCCACCATCGCTCTGGCCTATGTCAAGGAGGTGGACCTGATCAACTCCTGGAGGCAAGAGGCTCTCCCAGGAAAGAAAGGAAACCCCTCCAAAGAACACGAAGAGGGCGACCAATGGCGGAAGAAGCCTCCACGCCATCCAAAGAAGAACAAACCTCAGGAGGGCCAGTGAGAGGTGCGTGTCGCTATGGATCACACAGCGGAGGCACCAAAATACCAGAAGCAGAGGGTTCCTTATGTTCCGGTCTATGTTCCGACACAAGATGTTGCCAGACTGCAAAGGAGCTCCCTCACAGCACGGATGCTTTTTCCTCGGCTCCTAAGAGTACATCCTCTCCTTGGAGCTCTATGAACTATTCTTTTGATCGCTGGACCTACGACTTGGTCAAGGCGGTCTTGAGTTCCCGTACACCTTTTTCAGAATTCGTACGTCAGACCTTCTACTGCCACAGAGGACCATGCATGTCTCTGAAGAAGCTCTTTTTCCATTGCCTGTGCCAAAGCCTGGTGTTTTCAAGGTGGCAAAGTGTGGATCCCGGGAGAGAAAGAAGAGGAGGTTCGATCAGGCCTTCCATGTTTTCGTGATGGCTTTGAACTTTTGGCACTCCGACTTCCACTTCATCCCAGTCAAGCTGATGACCCGACCACCGAACAAAGCACAAGCCATGGCGCTAGAGAATCTCGGGGCAATGATGAGAGCTTTCGGTAGCTGTCGGGAAGAGTTTCATGTCCCAGGCAGTGGCCGTAGACTTCCTACTTTGGTGTCGCTCCTGGATGACCTGTCCGACTTTTTGACTCGTGAAGGGCATGGCAGCGATCCCTATTCCAGAGCTTTCCCGGGTGCACCTGAACCTACAACAGGCACTGTTCTTGAGCGGGATTTCTCCAAGGCCGAAGAGCTGATTCCTTATCGCACTTTGGACCCTGCTCGATTGGCGCTATTTGGTTCTGTTTCCTGGGATCTTTCACCTTACCTTTCTGACAAACTTTGGCTGGCCTATCAAGAGCCTGAAGTGATTCGTTGGACTCGAGATGGCCGCACTCCAGATGTTCCTGACCTCAAGAAGGAGTCCTACCAGTCCACCTTGGGCCTGGCAAAGATCTGGGACCGTCAAGGACTGCTCTTCATCCGGGATGCCCCCCTTGTTGAAGAAGAGATGGATCTCTCTATGAGGTTTTTCAATTGCTACAAGAACTCGACTACCGATAGAATGATAGGAGACCGCAGGTCCCGGAACTACGTGGAAGCTAGACTGACTTCGGCATCCAGGAATCTGCCTTCTTCCCAAGCGCTGTTGGACCTGGAGATTGATACGTCCCACCAGCGGATCAGCATCTGTGCCTCTGACAGACGAGACATCTACCACCAGCTCAGGGTCTCCTCACAGCGGGCCTCCTCGAATGCGGTTTTCCCTTTGCTCAACATCGATGATCTCAAAGGCACCAAAGCCTTTTCCTCCTGGGCTCTTCGAAGCCAGAGAGCTCCAAAGTATGATCGCTTCCTTCATGGGGATGGCCTAGGAGGACATTCACGACGCGCCCTACGTCCAACCGGAGATTGTGATGGCCTCTTGCAGATCTGTTTTGGTAGCATTCCCCAAGGAGATCATCTGGGCGTAGAGTTTGCCACAGAAGGCCATCGAGCTCTCCTGATTGAGAATGGTCTCTTCCACGGTGATTGTGAGCTTCGAGCTGGCCATGTTTTCCGGGGCGAGAGGCTCGCTTCTGGCTTGGTCATCGATGACTTCTATGCCATATCCATTGAAGAGAGCTATCGGCTCGAAAAGAAGAGCCTTGCAGTTGAGCAGATGGAGGAGGCCTCTGAGGTGTATCGGAAGGAAGGTTTGCTTGGCTCTCCGGACAAAGATGTATGGGATGCTTTGAAAGCCAAGATCACGGGTGCTGAGATTGATGGCAGTCTCTCTGCTACAAAGTTTGGACTGGTCACTATCGGAAGTCCTGTACGGAAACGTCTTGCTCTGGCTTTTGTTTCTCTTCAGCTGGCCAAGTTGAGGTGGACTTCGGATTCACTCTGGAGCTGCCTGATAGGCGGATGGACAAGTGCAATGCTGTATCGGAGGCCTGCCATGTCTCTTTTTTCCGAGGTCTACCAGGTATGCCCCATGGACATGGTATGCCAGGATGCTCCCAAGCTGATCCCTCTGGCTCGCAGAGCTGCGCAGGAGGTTCTGCTCGTGGCCGTACTTTGCCCCATTCTTTGCACGGACATTGCCTCGGGCTTCCAGTCAAAGCTCTATGCTACTGACTCCTCAGACGCCAAAGGAGCTATTGTTGAAGCCAAACTGGATACCTCGACTCTTAGGATGCTGTGGCGATCAAGTCGACGGAAGACCTCCTACTGCAGGATGCATAGCAGAACCGAGGCCGCTATCCGGAAGATTGATCCCATGTTTGAGGAGGAGCCAGGAGAAGAGAAGAAGGATGTGATCCATCCAGACCGCCCTCATGCCTTCAGGTACCACTTCATTGAGGTCTGCGGTGGAGCCGGCAAAGTGACTGCAGCGGTCGCTTCACATGGCTGGGTGGTGGGCCCAGTCATCGATCTTGACAGATCTCCTCACTATGATCTGTCTTGCCTGCAAGTCCTTCGATGGATGTTTTACTTGCTGGAATCAGGTTTGCTGGCTTCTTTTATGGTGGAGCCCCCGTGCACTACTTTTTCGCCAGCACAATATCCAGCAAGCAGGAGCTATCAACAACCTCGAGGTTTCTCTCCTACTGAGCCTAAGACCCTTCTTGGCACCACTTTGGCTTTGAGGGCTCTCTCGTTGATGAGTATGGCCGGAGCTCTCGAGGTACCAGGACTCCTTGAGCAGCCTCGCAGAACAAAGATGAGGAGACTGACTGAGTGGCTCACGCTCATCCAGCTCGGTCTTTGCCATGAAGTCTGGTTGGCTTCTTGCATGTACGGTTCCATCCACAAGAAAGAGTTCGTGTTCCTCTTAGCAGCCATGGACGGAGGGGACCTCCACAGGAAATGCCATTCTCATGTCCCTATTCAGGGAAAGTATTCAAAGCCTTCCGCGACCTACACCGACCAGTTGGCAGAGGCCCTGGGCAGGTCCTTCAACCGAGCCCTCCTCAAAAAGCTCAGACAGGTGGCCAGTGAAGATCCTTCTCTCAGTGGCCTGGAAAATCCTATGTGCAACGACCTCCTCCTCAGTGGCAACTGGAAGGTCACAAAAGCTTGGAGGTGGAGACATCCAGCACACATCAACATACAAGAAGCATCAGCGGCTACTCGTCTCTTGAGGCTCCTGGCCATCAAATCCCCGAAGTCCAGGCGAGTTGTGGTCATGGATTCCAATGTCGCTCTTTCTGCTTTGGTCAAGGGGAGGTCTCCTTCTCTTGGGCTCCGCCGAGTGCTTCGAAGAGCAGGAGCTACGTGCATAGCAGGTTGCTTGTACATGGGCTATCGTTTTGGGCCTACTCGTCTCCTCCCAGCTGATCATCCGACCCGAGACAATGATTTGCCTGCTTCCTCAGAAAGCTTCTTGCAGTGCTGGACAGATGGCCAGAAGTATGATCTCCAGCTGGAGAAGCTGTCGGTCCCTCGAGTTGCGGCAAATTGGGTCAGAATGTTTTTGAGACTTCTTGGCAACCCGCCCCCGTGGCTGGGGAGCAGCGACAGTTGGAGATATGCTCATGTGGTCTACAAGCGCTACCCCTTTGGTCTGGCCTCACGAAAGGGCGCAGGAGCTTCACAAGATGACACCGACTTCAATGCCTGTCTGGGCTACCCTGGAGAAGGCCATTGGGCAAAACATTCCTGCTTCCACCCCTTGGATTTTGGCTCTGGCCCCTTCAGGGGGCCTCAGTTCCCTGGTGGACTTCTTGGAATTTGGATTTTGCCTTTTGCCCTATTTGGGTTTTGCCTGCGTTTAGCTCCCTCTCTCTCCTATGCAGTCTCAAAAGTCGTCACTTGGCTATGTTCTTGGACTTGGATTGTCTCTCATGGGATTTCCTCATGTCTTTGGACTTTCATCCTGCTTTCATGTCTTGGCTCCACCGGCCCCTCTTCCAAGAGTTTTCTTCACCGCTACTCTTGCTACCGGGCACACAGACCACCCTGGGTTCTTTTAACCTTTGTTTTGTGTGTACATATTGGGGTAGCCGCGCCTAGCCATGGCCCTGGATTGAAGCCTCGTGACCCAAGAGACCAAGGACGAGCAGAGAAGAGAGCACACCTGGATTTGCCCCAAGGGAGGCCTGTTTCAGGCCAGACTCAAAAACAGCGTGATCAGCTACTAGAAGGTTTTGATGTCTGGCTCAGAGAGCAAGGCCTGACTCTGGAACAGTTGCTTTTTGTTGGTGAGCCCGACATCGACACCATCAACATTTTGTTGCAGAGTTTTGGCCGCCAGGCCTACAAGGCAGGAAGACCGTACAACCACTATGCCGAGACCATTAATGCAATTTCTGGGAAACGTCCTCGCATCCGCAGGTCATTGCAGCCTGCCTGGGATCTGGCCTACACATGGCTGAGACAGGAGCCTCCCAGCCATCACCTGGCTTTACCTTGGCAGGCACTCTTGTGCCTGCTTTCGACTTCTTTGAGTTGGGGGTGGGCAAGAGTGGCTGGAGTGATTGCCCTTTCATGGGGCAGCTTGAGCAGAATAGGAGAAGTGTTGAATGCAGTGAGGAAGCAGTTGGTCCTGCCCTGTGACGTCGAGTTTTCGACCGACTACGCTTTGTTGCAAATAGCTGAAGCAAAGACGAGGTACCGGGCCGCTCGACATCAGGTAGCTAGATTAGATCAGCCCCAGCTGCTACAGGTCATTGAGATCGCCTTCTCGAAGCTGACCCCGGAGGCAAGGCTCTGGCCGATGTCAGGCCAGGCGATGCGCAATCGTTTCCAGAAATTGCTGGCATGTGTTGGGCTGGCTTCGCTGCCAGATGGCCTCTCAAGAGGCCTCGACCTTGGAAGTCTTCGAGCCGGGGGGGCATCCTGGCTGTTGATGACAAGTGAAGACTCCGAACTGACCCGCCGCCGCGGACGGTGGATCAGTTCGAAAGTCATGGAGGTCTATGTTCAGGAAGCATGGGCAATCCAGTTTCTGCCAATGCTTCCATCTCCGACCAAGTCGATCGTGATTTCTGGAGCTTCCAATTTTCCTTGGATCCTTTCCAAGGTCTACAGATTGTTTGCAGCAGGTGTGCCAGAGTCAATCTGGCAGTTGCTTCTGACACAACAAGCAGCTCCACTTCGCATGAAAGAGTTGGGAGAGAAAGTCTTGGAAAAAGATGAAGCGGGTGGTGAGCAAGCACTTAAGGGCATGAAGCCCCTGTGAAGATCCCGCACGGCAATGGAAGGAAAAGAGCGCCTTGAAACACTGTCCTACAGTGTTGAATGACAGCGCTTTCACGCTCAAAGCTTCACCCAAAACCCGCCCTCCCGCTTGTTGAGTCAGAGGGTGGTGAGCAAGCAGTGAGGTGAGGCTCTGTGACGCACAAAAAGTGGACAACTGATGGAAGATGTTGAAACACATGCCTTGAAGAGATAGAACACGATAGAACTGAACCAAGTTAGTTGACTTGGCCTGAAGGGAGTCTTTCTCGACGGCTCTGGTCGGCGTGTGGGTGGTGGCTTCTACCGCCTTGAAGCAGCCCAAGCTTTCCTGGAGACCGGTGGCAGCAGGTGCCCGGTGACGAACCAACCCATTGCCAAGGTCAAAGAAGTGCCCAGCATTTTGGAGGACATACATGAGGATATGTCTTGGGTGATGTTGTTGGAGTGTGCTAGAGATGTGGACTCAGATTGGGAATCGCTCTGTGAAGTGCGCTGTTTGGTTGGAGGACCCAAAGACTTGGTTCCGGATTTGTGACGTGGATGGAGATCGTCGCCTAAGCCGAGATGAGGTCATCAGTGCATTGAAGGCACAGCTCCCACTAGCTACTTGGAATGCAGGAAAAGTGTCGGTTTATGTTTTCTTTGGGGCCCACATCCTTATTTATCCCACCAGGGCTGATTGCATTTGCTCTAAAGCTTGAATTTCTTCGTGCCCAGGACCATATGGCGATCGAGAAGTTTCGCACCGATGAAGCAAGCTGGCGAACATGGGACACCGACGGGCCGCTCGCCTGAAACCAGAAATCGAACATTGCGGACTGCTGGAGGCCTGGAAGATGTGCAAACTCAATTTAGACTTCTCAGCATGGCATGAAGCCCCGAGGAGTGGCTTTATCGAGTACGTGGAAATCATGGACGAAGAGTGGGGGTTGCTGAAGTTCATCCGTGACACCTTCACAAAGTCAGAGGCAGAAAAACCAGTCCCAGATCTTCGGAAGGACCGTGATGGCTGGTACAGGCAGGAGGTTTGCTTCATACTTTTGAAAAACATGCAGGCCTTCCAGGTAGGTTGTGCGAATCAGGCGTTGGGATGAAGATGGAAGTGGCGAACTGGAGTTTGAGGAGGTGGTGAGGGCTTTTGCCAAAAGCTTCAGAATCAACGTTGCTGGCATTTCGCAGCTTCGGGAGACGCTACGGGCGGTTTGGTGTGTCTTTGACACCGATGACTCAGGGGCGATTGACTGGAGGGAGTTCATGGCTCCCAACGAAGGTTTGGCAGATACAGTTATTGCGAGCATGAACTACATGTGACCCGACCATTGAGCAGAGATGAAGTTCGTGAAGCGATTGGAAAGAACCAGGCTGACTCGTCCCTAAACCGACTGGGTTTGTCATACAGCATACGGCTGTTCTGATAGTGAAGGCCTGAACATCTGACAACGGAGCAGTGTACGCCCAAGGAAAGCTACCACGACTGCTTTCCGATGACGTGTGTATAAAGCCCGTCAAGGGCAGCAGGGATGCCTCAAGCGCACCACTTGGCAACTGCAAAAAGAGACGACCATGGTGGGTTGCCTCGTTGCCTTTGTGCCATGAAAAGAGCGCACATTGTGTCCATTGCAAGCTGTCTGATGTCTGAGGCCGGCGTGCAATCGCTAGCAGAGAAGTTCAAACTGGATGAGCGAGCAGCCTACAAGCTTAGCGAGGCAGGCATGACAATCCATGCATGATAAGGCTATAGGGAGGGTCCTTGTTGAGTTCAAGGTAGGCAAACGTTGTTGTGGTGTCAGAGTTGAAAGTGCAGGTGCAGTCCTTGGTAGCAGGAGTCAGCTCAGTTTTTTCTCCTCAGGTGCTGTCGACAAAGCCCAATAAGACCTGGCCTTACAGACGACCAATCCTGCAAGCGGTCCTTGCTGGACTGGGATCATGGGATTTTCAGCGAGGAAAGATGTTCTCAAAGCTTTGGATGTACACTTGGCAGCTTGCAGCCCAGCTTGGTCATGCTTCGGCAGTTCTGGATTGTTTGATGGAGAGAGCCTAGCATGGCCCCATGCTTGCACGCCAGGGGTCTCAGATCGTGCTCAAACTTTGCAATCTGCTTTAGGCCTCCAACAATCCTTCCGCGTTGGTCATGTTGAAGTTGAGACCTCAGTTTCGGGGACAGGTGCCACAGGTTTAGCGCATTGAAAGTTGAAAGCTAAGGCTGGCTGATTTGAGGAGGGATGTGCCGCTGGGAGAGGCACTGGAAGTGACAGCAGGATAGGATGTAGGGACACTGCCCCATTCCGAGGTTCCCTATGGAACAAAGGGGTACAGAGACCGTGCGGAGCTTAGTGGTCGATGGAGGGCTGCAGGAAAAGGTGAACCTTGAACTTAGGGCCCTACTTGGGGAACTATGACCGGGATGGTCGCCGCATTGGCAGGGGTGAGGACAGGACACAGCAGCAGGCCCTTTTCGCGTTGCCTTTGAAGAATGGTAACTGGTTTCTTTGCTTCCTTGCCCTGCTTCGCCTTGCCCTGCCTTGCTTGCTTTGCTTGCTTGGTCTTCCACCTGGTCTTCTCCTACTCGAAGAAAGGATACAAGGCTTGTGTGTGCCCCGTTGCTCCATCTTGCTGCATGTTCTGGCATGTTGCTGCATATGTTGCTGCATTCACATTCAAAATAAGTGAAAGGAGTGGTGGCACACCGGTAGTCATCACCCAACCAAGGCACCGCAAACTTACTGGGACCTGCAACCTGGACCTGGATTGCACATACCTGTGTCCTGTGTTGATCTTGATGCGCTTCTACTGGACCCTTCTTGGCAAACACAACATTGAGATGGCCTTTGCATAGTCTGCATTTGATTTAGTTCATTCGGATTGAGCTTCATGCGTGCAAACGTGCGTGCACACAGTGCACACACACACACACTTATAGAAATGCGTACCGATTTGAATGCCGCACGTCACACGGCAACCTAAGGGACCAGAATCCTGAAAAGTCAAGAGAGGGGTCTGAGCACCTGTAGTTAAAGGCCAAACATCAACACCACCAGGCGACGAACAGGTCGAGATGACGGCGTCCGCTCACATCTGCAGATTGCATTAGCCCTTTGCTGGAGAGTGGTGTCACAGCTTGTTCAAAAGTTCAAACCATCGCAGGTACGTTACGGTGATCAGCCGTGATATCCGCATGTACTGTGGCCACTTCGTTGGACCATCGCTCACAGCACATGGATGGTCCCCCTGCTGAAAAAGAACGAATCCATCAGGATCCCTGTGACTCCAAGGGTTACACACACTATATATATATATACACATATAAATAGAATATTTATACACGTACATAGACGCATGCATATTTTATGCGAACGTACTTCTTTGTACGTGCGCAACACACTGCATAAGCCGGTTCTAAAGTTGAGGACGTGCCTGTTTTTGGCTTGTGTCTGCTGTTTGTTTCCTACTTGCTTCCGGAGTAGGTCTGCCAAAAAGTGTCACCAACTTGGAGGGACCTGCTGGCATGAACACAACATGTTTCATATCGCTTCGACACAATGCTTCCCTAACAGGCGGCTGGGGAGGGACCTCCTGCGCGTGGTGAGCGCGGCTTGGCATGACTATGGCTGCATGAATGAGAAAGTAACGCGGCAAGTAACAGCCTGAGGCGACAAGAATGACAGGCAGGGGTGGCTGTTGTCACTTTTGCTTAATTCTTTGTGCAGTTTCGAAAGCCGTGTGCTAAACCGGGATCAGATTGGCTCAGACGTGTAGTGTAGCATTTCCAAAGGGAACAAGTCCCATGGCAGCAGAAGATTGGAAGGATAGAAGCTTGGCATGGAAAGGAAGTATGTTAATGGCAGGGGCAAGCCGGACTACTGCCACAGAGTAGGCTGGCGGCCTTCTCCAGTCCTTCTAAGGCAACATTGGTGCAATTGGCACTGATGAAGATAAGGCTTTGAGGAAAATGGCAGCGACGAAGGAGCCATAGACGAACCTCTTCAATACTTACCCATTTACCAGGGTGCAGTTTCAGCTGTTCCAGGGCGCAGTCAGATTCTAGTAGCTCTCTGGAACTGGGTCGGTGTACCCTCGTGTTTCGATGCCACATCATTGACGTGCAAGCTTAAATTGGACAGGTGTTAAAACAAAGCAAACATGTTGAGCTGCCTTGAAGGAGCCTGCATGGGCTGGTGCCGGATCTAAGCCTGGACTTCTTGTGTGGCGAGTTGAGCACTTCCATGTGGTACCTGTAGAAACTAAGCAGTCATTTATGGGCAGAGGCGTCAGTCCTTCTGGAGCATTCTGGCCGCTGCCTGTCCCAGATTTTGCTTCCAAGGACCCTGGGAGCTACGGAAAGTTTCACAAAGGTGACTCCTACATTGTGCTCCAGACGGTGGAGACCGATAGCGGCAGCTCGTGAATAGCTTGCGGCAGTGCTATGCTTTTGGAGCCAGGGCTTGGCGGTTCATAGCTTGGCTGGTCAACAACTTCCATATCGTCTCCACAGAATTAGGTCACGAAGTAGTGTCCAGCCAGTGTTCCTCCCATTTTCCCAATCTTCCTGTGTTCCACGCAAATCCCAGGCAAATTGGTCCACACCATCTACTTTTACATAGGGACGGAAAGCTCGATCGACGAGAAGGGAACTGCTGCATACAAGACAGTTGAGCTTGATGATCTTCTTGAGACTCAGCTCATACCTTCCTCGAGCCGAAAGGGACCCACACCTTCCTGCGCAGGTAGACATGTTACTCATAGAACTCCTAGACCAAACAAAAGGGGGAGAGAGAGAGAGGGAGGAAGATTGCATGCAGTTCGTTCGCAGGTTATACAAATCACAAGTTCTATACAGGCTGTATACCAGTTTCTTTCTGGTTCTCCGCCTGGAGATTTTTGCATCAGAGAGGCTTGCGCTTCATATTATGGGCGTGCTTATCCCCCACCACACTTGCAAAGATTCAATAGTCGGTGAGGGTCCTGCGGCCTCATAGCTCGGTTTACACTGTTTACACAAGAAAATGAGCGATTAGTATTAGGAGGCCATTAGGTGGAGGCCATCGCTACTAGGTTGGGGGCCATTACTGCTAGTAGCAAGAAGCTACTTGTCACAAGAAAAAGAAATCCCTCGTCTAAAACCATAGCCTGGACATTGTGTACTGACATGGAGCGAAGGGCTTGAGTTCATGCATGAAGGGATTCATAGAAAGCACTTTTGGAGTTTAATCCTGTGCTAGGAAATTGTGCAGTGTGAACACTCACATCACCGGGAATAGACACATCCGGCCTGGGCTGACTGCCAACTACTTTGGCTCAAGGCATACTTGGAAAAGCTGAGGCTGCTTCGCATGTCGATCGCCGATTCGAGAGCTGCTTCTGCATAGGTATATCCAGGTATCGAGCAATCAATTGGTTATCAGCCGCAAGGGCTACAAGAGACCATTGGTTGGAAGAAAGAGAAACGTGACTATATACATAGCATCGTGTCAAGCTTGGCATACTGCATTCACACATACCTACAAGGTGTGAGAGATCATTGAGCTGAGTGGAGTTTGAACACAGATACTTGTTGTTTGAACTTCCACTCTTTCGCCGGCCGGCGCGACCCATGCCTCCGCGTGAGCGTGAACGCGAGAGATCGTGGAGAAGACGTGGACCACGTGGCGGGAACCCAGATCGCCCGTCGCAGCTGAGTAGAAGGGAGCGCGGTCTTCCTACAGAGGATCGCGGTAGAGAGACTGAACGTGACGCTCATCATCGTGAACGAGGAGTTGACTATCGTCGTGTTGAGCGTGGGCGTGGTCGAGATCGCGCAAGTCGCGATAGTCGAGATTGGCAGCGATCTGGACGAGGACGAGGTCGAGTCGAGAGGGAGCGAACTCGAGGGAGCGGCCCTCTCGCCGCACCAGCCCAGGTATCCACCTCCGCACGTGGTTGAGACCTGGGAGACGCGTCGGGCTCCAACACGCCGGCCGAGTGAGAGTGCTTCGGAGGAAGAACCACCTGAGCACGTTGGGCGTGGGCGTACAGAACGATCGGTCTCCGCGAGGATCGTGGCAGAGAGTGTGGATTTGGGTCCCTGAGGGCGGCTTGAGCCCGGTCAGGGACGAAGGCCTTGAGCGCGATCAGGATTCGCGATCAGGCGAGGTTGAAGAGGTAGAACTTGAAGGATCTTGAAGGTGAATCCATTGACGCCGAGGCAGGTGAGCCCAGGACACATCTTGCAGAACCTGTTGAAGTTGCCCCGGAAGCCCCTGGTTGTTGTTTGGGGCTGGATCGGCCGTTGACTTCTCCGCGACTGAGGATTCGATCGCGAGACAAGCCACAGAAGCAGCGACAGCGCGTTCGGCCGACACGCGCCGCGAACGAGCCCGTGAACTTCGTTCGAAAGCAGCTCGTCCGACTGCCAGCAAGCCATCCCCTTCGGTGAGCGAGGATCCGCCAGAAGAACGGGCGCCCGTTGAAGAGCGTGTCAAACCCCCTCCAAGAGCGACCAGTGCAAAGGCCAAAACCAAGAAGGAGACCGACGAGGCTGGTGACGTTGGGCGTGAATCGTCGTCGCGTCAGCGCGAGGAAGAAGGGTCTTCAGGATCTGGTTTGAGGCGTGAGATTGAGGAGCTTCCGGCTCCGCCTCCTGTTCCCGGTATAAGGAGGAGATTGAGCAAGCCGAGATTGCAAGGAAACGTGAGCTAGAGAGCTCGCCCCCAGCTCCTCGACTACCTCCAGTACCGGCGACAGTGAGAGAGCCGCTCTTCGAGGCCGCGGTTGACAGAGCCCGTACAGCCAGTGGTACTCGCTCCACGCCCGAAGGAGCGTCCGACTCAGACAGAGTCGGAAGAGCCGTCCACCGCAGCTCGGCCACCAGAGCCTGAGAATCCTCCGGCAAACGCGTGGCAAGACAAGCCGCTGCTGCTTTTCGATTGGCGCAAGACGTTGAGCTTCCCGCACCAGCCAATACACGAGAGCGTGATTCAGCTAGTTCGTCGTTGTCAGTCGGAAGGTTACGCATTGGGCGTGTTGAGTTTTGCTTCAGCAAGGGATACACAAGAATCAGTTTTGGCAGGTGTGACCGACATCAACTCCAAGCTGGATCGACCGTTTGACGTGGTTGCAGTGACTCGTACAAAATTCCTGCGGGACCACGTTCAGAGTCCGTCCCTCACTGGCCATAGCGGCCCGAAGGCCCAGATTGTCACGGCACTGGGTGCATTGGTGTTTCATCGACGACCAGGGGGCGCTCTTGGCTGACGTCAGGCACTGGCAGCGTGATCTTCCTCAGGGAGGCCGGACGCATCTGGTGAAGCCCGGGGTCACGCTTGAGCGGCTGCTGAGATCGTTCCCGCGTCCGGGAGAGCTTCCCAGTGCGAGGGAGCTCGGACGCATTTTGAGTCGGTGAACGAGGAGAAGATCAGCCAGTGTCGCGTTGGGGCATTTTGCATTGAGCAGGCATTGGTTGACTGGTGGTTGAAGCGTTGTGCAATAAATCTGTCGGCTGAAAGGCCACGTGTCGGGTTGAGCACAACTATGCATTGTTGAGACATTGTGCATTGGTCTTTTGAGACTTCGTGCGTTGAGCAGGTGAGGCTGGACACAATAAATCTGTCGGCTGGAGGCCACGTGGCGGGTTGAGTGACGGCTTCCTTTGGCGCGTGGCAGAAACCCGCGACGCCCGATCGCGCGCCGTGCAGTGTAAAAGGGGGAGGATTGAGCGTTCCGAGAGGCCCCAAGAGTCAGTTGATTGTGAGTTATTGTTGGTGTGATTGTTCCTTGAATACGAAGCCACTCACTCGAAACTTGTGTTTTTGGATCAGTTGAATATAAGACATTGAGTTGAGCTGTGTTGGATTAGAGTCGATCGCTTGGGTTGAGATTCACTTCATTGCACCTGACAGTCGATGTCAAAACGGTCGGTTCCTGCAACACCCTTTCGTGTCATCGGTCCTGAAGGCTCCTACGAAACCTCGAGCTCATCCATTTCGCCGGAGACTGGGCTCGCGAGGATGGAGGGTGAAACAGGGACTGGTGGAGGACCCGGGCTCCAAGTGAGCGTGCCGGCCAAGGGAAACACAAAAGTTGCAGTGAGTCGTATGAGAACCCAAACTTCTGAGCCTTCCCAACCTTCTGGGGTACAAGGTGATCCATCGACCGTTCCTGGGGTGCATGTCTACGACCAGAGAACCCTCAACCATCTACAAGTACTCAACCAGCACAACATCGATCCAGAGACACTTGAAAGAATTGTTCAGGGTTACGTTCAATCGCAGTTGAGCCATGCAGAACAGGTGATACAGCACGAACGACAACAGCATCAGCTTGAGCAGCAAAACGCAGCACTACAGCTGAGCCTTGAACACCAACAGATGAACCAACACATACAACAGCAAGAAGCCCAAATGGCACAAGAAGTACACAGCAGAATCAGCCAAATGGCACAGAGGCACAAGCAGAAATTTTTAAGCATCAACAAATAGCAGAACAAGCGCAACGCGAGATACAACGCGTGACAGCTGCAGCAGAAGCCAGGTTTCAAGACCTTGCGCGTGAGAACGAAGCACTTCGAGCGTCTCCGGTTGCAGGTTACTTTGATGCGTGTCCGTCGGAAGCCGGAAGAGCACCATCTGTTGCTTCAGCCTCGCCGTTGAACGTTGTGTACTGCCATGTGTGTGGGAATCAAAATGTTGTT